TCACTTTCTCCTAAAAAAATGCTTCGTAGACAGTGTTTAGTTTCAGGCGGGTTTGTTACATTTCTTGCAGTGCGAAGTAAGAAATGCGAGGTGCAAGAAACTGGGAGAAAGTGCAAGAAATATGCACCATCTAGCCATGCTCCGTATAAAATTTAACGGCGAGAAGTGGTCTCTTGCATTTCTTCAGGTTAAAATACCCGCAAGAAACCACTTTCTCCCCGTTATTTCTTGCATGTGCTTGCTCCAACCCAATTTCACCCGAAACACTGTTTACATGTAGATCTGCATCGAAATTAATTACATCTTTAAAATAAATGGCACGATTATTATGCAAGTTTCCACCCGACGGATGCATGCATGACAATGACAATGACAATCTCATGCATGTATGCATGAGATTTTATGAGCAAAAGAAAAACCTAATTTTTTGCGAGTATGCAAAAACAAACCAGCTTTTCTACATAAAATAATAAAGAGTATTATTATAGCATTGTAGTAGACGAACCCATACTGTTTTCCTTCTTGTGGAAGAAGAAAACACGCAAAATTTCATCCTCAACTATGTTTTTAGATAATTAAGCCTGACTTTATTAATCTAGCCGGGCATCCTGTCTTTTATTCTGCATAGGCCTCACTTTCACTCCCTACTTATTATTTTAGATCATCTACCAAACAACAACCACAAGTCAGTTTTCGTCCTTCGTTCAACCACGACGACCATTGATTTAATATCAACTATATCCAAGATACGTGAAATTTAATACAAAGACTTTCCTAGGATGAGTTTGTTTTAAAGAGAAAACTCTAATTTTGAAATTCTCTTTGATTATTTCACTTTCTTCTCGAAGTAGGAAGCGAGGAGCTGCGGCTTGGGTGGGATAAACCGCATATTAATTTTATACAATCTCAAATTAATAAAATTACATGGCTGTATCATCATGTCCCACATTTTGGTACTGTAAATCACAACAACAAGAAAGTTTCTCGTGTTTATGGTGTCAGCTGCACCGTGTTTACGTACACATTCCACTTCAGGCTGTAGGTCGCCTTAAATATTTTAACCGTCTAACCAAATTCATACTACGAACGAACAACGCAAACTTGCAAACTCTATTGCCAATCTTAATCTTAAGCAAGTTGGCATGCGTACAGGGTTAAAAATCTGCTGGAGTCATATTCATAGCCTGTGGACTTTTGTACACTGTTAAAAATCTGGTAGAGTCAGATTTATACTCTGTACTGGTATTGATGCGGTAATAAATTCTTACCGGAATGGTAGTAGTTTATCTCTGACGGGTAAATATTTTATTACTTCAACATTACTAAACCATAATGCTCGTTATTACCAGTACCGGTAGAGTCATATACTTTTGTACCACTCTGGTCAGTAATGATTTAACACCAGTTTTCTAAGCGTGTACTTTGATACTTTACTATGTCAAGAATAACTTTTGAACTTTTCAACAATTCTGGCATAAAAAGTGCGTGGTGCACTACTAAAAATCAAACTTTTTTTGGGTGTGAGTGAGCATTTTTAACCCTTTGGCCAGCACAAAGAGAAAGTTGCCCTGCTTTCAGCCACAGACGTGTGTGCACGTCCCTGCAAATGGGAACTGATGGGGATACAAGAAACCCACCACAGGACAACTGTTTGTGTAATTTCCTTCACTCTCGGGCTTGTTTGGTTCGTTTGAAAAGTTTGATTTTATCCAAAGATAAACCAACCCCGTCCTCCCGCGACCAGTAACGAGTTAGTTTAAGTGTAAATATAAACTAAAATTTTAGACGGTGCGCACACTTGCCTCGAAACAAAAGTTAGTCTTACTTACTTATTTTGCTTTCTGACAAGACGATGCGATAGCTTTTATTTTATGGGCGGCATAGTGTGGTCGCTTATGAATTCGTGTAATGTTTCAATAATGGTCGTTGCACTAACGATGGGGACGCAAACCGTGTTCAACCCGGATTATTTCTTGAGAAGCCCAGTTTAATGGGCAACCCCATTAAAGCAGCATTTGTACAGATGCGCAAAATTCTGAGTGTTATAGGCGCTGCAATTTCCCGAAAAGCCTCGTTTTCTAAGTGGAACCTGTGCCTTTCGAGCGTTTTCGCGAACTTGCAGCGCCCATAACGCTCCCAATTTTGCGCATCTGCGCAGGTTCTGCACTAAACGTTGTTTCTAAAGGGTTGCCCTTTCAAACTGTTGAAAGTTTAACTGGAAAAATGCCCAGCAAATTTTGAAAGTGTAAAATTTGCCAGCCTTGGGGAACCTTTTTTCCCTCTTTAAATGCACAAATATCTGCGAAACTTGAACATTGGCAGATAGTGTCACTTACAAATTGCACACTACTTAAATTTGTTATCAATTGACACTATTTTAGCCTAAATCTGTGTGCATACGTTGGAATACCTCAGTCATAAGATGGTAAAAAAAATAATCTGGGTTGAACATGGTTCGCGTTCCATTGTGACTTCCAAGACTTTCCATTTAATACTGCCACCCAACTTCCTTGTCCTTCTTGGAAAGAGTGAGAGAGAGAGCAAGAGACAACAGTTAAGTAATAAAATAATCAGTCCGTGTTCGCCTAACGTAATTATAAGTTTTGACTTACTCACTTACTTTACTTTCTTGGCCGACACGGAGAGTTGTTCACTCTCACTCGCTCCCTCCTCCTCCCTCTCCTTTCAACATTGTTTATCGTGTCGCTTATTGAACAAGGAGTGAAAATTACGGGGAGGATAAAGCAGCAACGGGAAACTGGCGAGTATGCAGTAATCACCAAAACCAACAAGAAAACTGGCTCCGAAGAAGACGAATTTTTCTCTCAAGGACTGCTCAACTTTTACTCCAAAATAAATACACGAGCTACAACTACAACTCATTTCAGAATTTCCTCCATTTGTCAACCTTTCAAAATTAGAAGGTACAATAATACTTCTTGTGACAACGTAATTTTGGGTTGGTACACGTTCCCCTGAATGGTTTGACAATATAACGAGCGGTTATTTAAAGTTAATATTACTCTTGTCGTCGTTTCGTGGCTGCATGTCATACGTCCGAACAATGGGAACAACTTCCTCTTGTCATTTCATTCTGCGTGCATGTCATTTCGTGTATTTTTACGCACTGCTGCTGAAAGGAAAGGTCCCTGTGGCAAGTCACATCTTGCAGGAAGAAAAGTCCAAATCGCAATGCGTAATGTGGAAGTGTGTAATGTATGTCCAATGCGGGACTGGAACAGTGCTTCGTTTTTTTTGCGAGTTTGCCACATTTTTTGCAGTGCAAAGAAAGCAACGCAAGAAATGCGAGGTGCAAGAAACTGAGAGAAAGTGCAAGAAATAGGCACCATCTAGTCAAACGCTGTATGAACTATTTAGAACGGCTGGATTTACAGCGTAACTTTTTTGCAAGCTACACTGGGATTTTTTAGCAAGTTGTATAAAAAAATCAAGGCAAAAATTAGGAATAATAAGGCACTTATTTTCCGTTCAATGACCACTTTAATCGAACATATTAAGGGTCAAAGTTCACACGTTCGTCTTGGTTTTCTCCCCGTGAAGGAAAAATCGAGCAAAAATTTACTCAAAAATTGAACTTTGCCCCAATATTTTTATTTAAAGTGACCATTCAACGGAATGTGATTCCGTGTGATTCTTAATTTTTGGCTTTAACTAGCAAGAAAATCCCAGCTTAGCTTGAAAAGTTCTATGGTTATTTTCTTGTACCATGCATTTCTTGCAGGTCAAAATACCCGCAAGAAACCACTTTCTCCTTGCAGTGGTTACTTTCACCCGAAACACTGTCTTAGAACTTGGCTGACTGGGGACTCGTCCTCTCGAGTGAAAGTATGAGCAACGTTAAGTAACGTAAACGGGTAGAAGAGGAATGCAATGTCATTTTATATTTTGACCCGAAATCGTGCCTCCATCTCAACATTGCTTTCCCTCACTCGGAAAGCATTTCATTTCCAACTTGGGTTTAATTTATCCTGCCTTCTTCGCCTCACACTCGGTCGGGGTCACCTTTCAATTCCACAAACTTTGCGAGATCTTCGGTAAATCGAACATTTGTCGAAAAGAATATGAACATTGTCATACGTAAAAGGATCATGGCTTATTTATTTATGCAGAGTAGCGAGATTCCCATCTCAATCAAATCATATTACGCCTTCTTTACTTGTTGAATTACGCTACGGTGTGATAACTAACTAATAAAAAATTCAATCTCGTTCTTTTCCAGGGAATTAAATTCCGTATGACAATATCGATGCAAATTCTTCTCTTCGTCCTATCGCAAAATGTGGTCTCTTGATAAATATCGGATCGGAAAATTTTCTCCTTGCAGCTTAAAATTTGGAATAACGAATAATAAAAAAACAGCCAAGTTAAGGTCGATTGGATGAAGGATGTAAAATTTTAAACACCAAGTGACAGAGGAAGGAGCAGCAAAATGAGTTATGGCCAAAGTTTTTTCCTCTCTCTCTCTCTCCCTCGTTTTCTCCGCTTTCTGAAAGGTACGTGCTTTTAAGAATAATGAATTTAGTGCAGAATTGGATCGTGATGCATGTGTCGACAAAAGAAAAAAAGAGGTATGGCCCGAGTAAAGGTTAATTTTTAAAATGTTTCTCATTTCCTTTTGAGGAAAAAATGTGGTATTTTTTCCCTTCTACCACATTTTTATTTTTAAATTTCCACAATAGTAAAAAGAGAAAAAAACAGGTCGGGCTGTGTATGTCCGTACGTGCGATTTACCCGTGTTTCATCTCCCCCTAACAAGTCATCATTTGTTTCTTTGTGAGATTTAAAACAATGCAGCCCATTGAAAAACTTGTTCATTTAGTTGCCCACCCTGAGGACAATTTATATTCAAATGCGCTTCATTTATTCCACTGCGGTGGATGCAGTAAGGGTTTCATTTCCATTACTACTCCCTTCATTCACTGACTCCATTTTTGCACCATTTTATTGCCCAATTGAGCATCGAACACTCACTTACTTACTTGGTCCAGGGTTTTAGTGAGAGGAAAAATATTCACACATTTTCCTTTGTGTCATTCCTTTTTCGTCATCTTGCTTCACGCACCACACTCAATTTGCGTGAGAGAAGTGATATTATTTCGGGCACAATCACGTAATTCACTCGAGTACTCGAGTGTCACTAAAAATTTCCAGTTGACACTTTTCCAAGTGACGACTCACTCTTCGAGTGGGGCTGGTGCTTGGTTAGAGAGAGAGAGAGATACAGGAAACGCGAACAAGTTCCTAATTTGTCTCACACTTCACACAACTTGCTTGGTTTCGTACCGTGTCAAAAAGTAGAGAGTAGAAAGTGAAAGTACAAAGTGAAAGTTAGTATGGAGAAATGTCTTTAAAAATTTGGAATGACATTGACTAGAAGAATGTATGTAATTCAATAAAACGCAAAACTTCTCTTGTCACTGTGAAGAAACAATATTTTTCACACGTTTATCTCCTCCACATGATGACAAGTAAATAAATAAAGTGGAGAAGGAACCGTATGCACATTTGTAAACAATTTGTATAAACGTGAATACTGACTAAAAATATGATTTCCACGACCGGAGATTTGGTTTTTGACTTGTCATTACTCACAGTTGAAGAGGAGAATGAAATAAATCATTTTTTGGCAAAGTCCACATTTCACGATGACTTTCTCCGGCTGCACTGCACACTAAATTTTACTATTGATTGAGATTTGTTTTTCAGTTTGTTGACGGCGTAATTTTTGATACGCTCACATTTCTCTGGGTGGATTGGATTGGATCGATAGTTATTTATTGACTTTGGAAAGTTGTCCAAGTTTGAGTGAGTGAAAGCTGATTTACTTATTTGGTAAATATTCACTGAGAATTTTGAATATTGAAGGAAAATAAGCCTTGAAATTTGGTTTGCATATTCTGCAATTCAACACGACCGGGTTTGAATAGATTTTAAAATTTTGAAAACTTAAGCACGATTTTTTATTTATTTATCAACAATGCGGTTAAGATTGAAGAAACAAAACTTTCTCTTTTTTCATGCGGCTCGTTTTCAGATTTGTATACGCAAGCTTTTTCCCACTGATGCTGGTGCTGCTGGTGTCTAACGATCTTGTCGACTCGAAATTTAGCAAAGGACTGGCTCCTTTTTAGAACGATTCCCGGCTCAAGCCTCCTTTGCTTTCTCTGGGCAGCCAGCTCGGGTTCCGGGTTCCATGGGAGCAAGGCAAGAAAGCAGTAGGGCCGTTAGTTTAATGGGCAGTGTGAAGGATTCCTTACTCGCTATAACTCAACTCTACTTCTTCGCTCGTATTCTCAGCTAGGACGACGAGACGCTGCATGTAAGGAAGGAATGCATACAATATTTCAAGACGTGTGGGCTTAACGCAGTACGGAGAAAGTTTTTATTTTCTCGGGAAAAATTATATGCGGAAAAGTTTTAAAATAAATGTTTAGGTATGAAATTTGTATGTACATACACTGGTAAAAATCTGGTAGAGTCGGATATAGACTCCGTATTGGTATTTATTTGGTACCGGATTGGTAGTAGTTTGTTTTTGAGTGGTAAATTCTTCATTACGACAACATTACTAAACGGTAATGCCCGTTATTACAAGTTCCGGCAGAGTCATACATGTACTCCGGTCAGTAATGATTTAATACCCTGTTTCTAAGAATGGAATCACTGCTTAAAATCTGATAGAGTCAGATATACACTCCGTACTGGTATTGATTTGGTAATAACTTCCTACCGGAGGGGTAGTAGTTTGTTTCTGAGAGGTAAATTTTCTAATACCAGTTTTCTAAGAGTGTAAGTGAAAGTAAAAATGCCGCCTGTTTTACTTTTGTCTCGTGAAAGTTCAGCACCACATAAGAATTTGTTTTCAAATATAACCCGTGCTTATTTAGTTTGTGCCTGTGCATCATTACAGGAGGGATCAGTAACATGAGCTTATTCTGTCTTAGTGGACCGTGGATTACGTGTCTGGGGATGCATTGCATTGCACCACATCACATTCCCATTAGAGTGCAGGCGGCATGCTGGTATAGTAGCTGCAGTGGAAGAGATTAAGATATTTCCTCCATCCGGTCCGGCTTAACGGTAATTCTTGTTTGCTTACATGCACGTACGTATGTTGCTCCGGACAGATGGACCCCATCCATTCGCGGTGAAAGTGCAGTCCTAGATTTATGTTTATTGTCCACCATAACTTTTGTGTACAATTGCCTCGTTTCCTACAATTAAATTTTGCCAATCGCTGTAAACCTGTAATGATTGGCTGACCAAGTAAATAGTAATTGTGGTAAAGGATTTATTGCTTTGACCAGTGATTTGTACATCGCTAGTGATCACTAACGATATATTTAGGCTGGTTTTCTTTCATATGCGGACGTCTTACAAGGGAGGTCTCATAGCGAATGTTCACAGATTGGGGGAAAACTAGTGTCCTTAAATCACAATTTTAATTAATATGCAAGCTGCAAAAGACACGATCTCTCAATGGGCACGTTTGGCAGAGATATCTGCATCCAAAAAGGAGAAATTGCTGAAACTTTTCAAATTTACTGTGCACTTTCTCCTCTTCGAATGCAAGTATCTTCGCCAAACGTTGCCATTAAGAGATCGTATCTTTTGTAAATTTCATATCAATTAAATTTGTGATCGATTCACACTAATTTTGCCAAAATCGGAGAGCATCCTCTGGGAGACCTCCATTGTTAGTACAGATTTATGTGAAAGAATTTTTCACATGGGAACGTATTTTAAACGAGAAAAGGGGAGAGGTGATGTTATGTCGTGCCTGTTTTGTTAGCTGCATCGAAATGGAGATGTAAGTATGAAATGGGGCGAAGAAGGGTGAAAAGAGTTGCATGGCTCCCATTCCGAGGTCCTAACAATGAGTTATGAATAGTACAGATCCTTCTGACGGTTTGCATATTAGTTATCTTCAGCAAAACTCATATTTGCGTGTTATTTATATCCCGCTTTTGCTTTTTCTCCAGTCTCGTTAAGACATGTCCGTCCTACATAAAAGCGCCCACCCACACACAAACAACGACACAAAAATGTCTAAAAAACGAAGCTTTCACTGTAACACCTCTTACTTCAACTATTTAAATGTGAAGCAGCATTTTTGCATATGCTATTTTTAGGACCATTATAATTTCGCAAAAGTCTCCTCGTATCTCAAAGTCTAATTTTTTTCTCTGCAAATTGCGGTTTTACTCGAAACTTTCTTCATGCGGGTTGGTTAAAACTTGTGTTGTGCTAAATAAATAAAAGTTGCGAATAATAATTGGCGAACTATGTCTTACTTTGATCTTTGCAAAAAAAAGTTCGCAGAAGAGAAAATACATAGCTCAACATATTCTCATTAATCTAAACTTCCGTCACTCGGAGGAGCAGGAGACCGTTTCACAACTCGGACTGGACATGGTCCGAGAGAAGTAACGTAACGAATTGCGACAGTTTTCCCCTAGGCAGTTAGTCTCCTTTCCTTTCGAGATGAGAAATACGGAGCCAAGGTCCGACTTGACTGGGGAAGGAATGCCAAATTGGGTAGTTTGATGTAGTTTATGAATTCATATTTTTTGAACGTGCTTATCCTTGATCAAATCTGGAGATAGAATTATTGAATGTGGGACTCTTGAGATGAAAATCGAGAGGAGAGAGTCCCAAACCAATATTATTACTAACGAGGAGCAAGTGACGATCAACAGAACGTGCTGTGTCCACCACGATCACGATGACGACGAGGATGACGATGGTGGTTGTGGTGGGTGAAAGTGTCACACTTTAAGGAGGTCCTTTTCAAAATAGTGATGAAACACTGATTAGAATTTTGTACCTACACTGTTAAAAATATTGTAGAGTCAGATATATACTCCGTACTGGTATTGATTTGGTAATAACTTCGTACCGGAGGGGTAGTAGTTTATTGCCGAGTAGTAAATTTTTCGTTACCACAAAATTTCTATACGGTAATGCCCATTATTACCAGTGCCGGTAGAGTCATACATATGTACTCCGGTCAGTAATGATTTAATCCTAGTTTTCTAAGAGTGTACCCAGCAAATTGTTATTATTGTATAAATGATTTTCCCAAAGTAAAATTAAGATTGTCTGATTTCATAATTGCTCGAGGTCACTTTTAACAGCGTTATGTGTTTGTCATAATAATTTTGTTGCGGTGCTTCCACCACCACGAACCAAATAAAACAAACACGAGGAGCCGGAAACACTTGGAATTATTCTGCCTCGTTCCGCAATTCGTTTTACATCAGCAAAAAAAATCTCGACGAGGAGAAAGAATTCAATGTTTGGTACATACACCATGGTTCTACGGATATAAAAATAAATGGATAACTGCATAATTTCTTTGTTCGCTCTCTCTCTCTCTCTCTTAGTGTGTCCGGATGTGTTGAAGAATTTGCCAGGGTGGTGGTGGTGGGGTAGTCGCACTCACTCCTACGTACACAGCCAATCCTCCAGCGTGACATTTAATACAGACAACTTTCACCAGAGAGAGAAGAAGCGAAACGAAACTCTGTTTCCACACAATTATTTTTTCACCCCCTTGAAACAAGCAATTCTGAGGATGATTGCCATCACAAAACAAACTGGTGAATGCCATTGCCATTAAAGCTGGTGAATCTTCTTCTTCTGTGTCTGCCCCACCCGTTGTTCACTCATTGGTGGAGAAAGCAGTGGCTGCGGAAGGGTGGGGACAGAGGGACAATGTCGTCATGGTGGTTCGGTGTACCCAATGATCTGGCCATGTTATATATACCCCTCCCTCCTCTATCCTGCAATGTAAATGTCCCCACAGCTTCCGCGGCCACTGGGAGAAAGTACCGGTATCTCGTTGGGCACTTATGCTACGCCGTCTGTCCGTCCGTACTTTCTCTTATTCGCTATCCTCCTTCCTCCTTAGAAACAAGACTTGCCAAAAATCTGCATACACATTGAGCCGAGAGCCGTTTGAATGTTTTTGTCGCATTTCATTCATACCATGCTCACCACCACTTTTAAATGATCCCGCTTAACGGCACGTTCATCCATTCTTTCTCCAACCGTAAGAATTTACGTGGCCAGTAAAATCTTTGTAGGGATGGATGTAAAAAGTGGAATATTTCGAGAGGAAATTGCAACACACCCGACCAGTCAGTGCGATGACAGTGAATCTATTCATCCTATTTATACAATTTTGAACAAGCCGAGCTTATCGAGGCATGCTGTACGGGGATGTTGGATTATTCGGGATTTGTCTGCTCAATGCAACATAACGTTGCATAAGAGAAGAGCGATACTGGTTCCAGTTCTGGTCGGAGCGGGGTATGCCGTGTTCGACCAAACATTGAAAATTTCATAATGTTGAAGGACAATCACGTATAACATGACGTTTTTATTTTAAAAAATCGCGAATGTGCCAAAATATGCAAATGAGGTGACTAACGCAAATAATTAAACTGTTACATTTTAAACGGTTACACTTTTTACCAGGATATTTTTGATAAAAAATTACTTTGAATAAAATTGTTTAACAAAAATATGTGTATACCCCCTTCAATTCATTTTTAACTCTTAAGAGTTATCCAACAACCTCAGATAAGCAGATAGTGAAAGTCCGACCAGAACTGTAAGCCTGAATTTCTCTGTACCACAACCTAAGCAATGCCAAACACCAGGCTGGTCTGGATGGATGATGATATTTCGGATGCTGAATTTTGAGTTTTGTGGCTGCCTTCAACTCTCGAGTTTTGCAGGAAGTAGTAGTTATTATGGATTATGGTTGCAAAATCCGTTCGTCTAGGAGTCGAGGAGAGAGCAGCGTGTTGCAAGTGTGAGTGCTTCGTGGTTGGTGTTATTATTTTGAATGGCTATGTGCATCTGTTTGCTTGCCTCCCTCCGTCCGCAGCAGGATTCTGAGGAGAATGATGGTCCCCACAGAAATCTTTCCGAGGAGTTGGACACTTTCCGAAATTTTTGGGATGGATGGGATTTACATTTAAAAAAAAAAAATTGCCGAGTTTTCAATCTAGGAAGTAGACTCCCACGATCGACGTCGAGCAACAGCCAAGTCATTTGACAGGCGAGTTTCCTCTGCTTCAAAATCCATA